TTGTATTACTCTAAGTTTACCTATAAATCTATTTCTAAAAATTGTAATCTCTAATACTAAGATAAATTAAATTTATTTATTAGAATAAAAATATATTATATTTTTTCTGGTTTTTTCAGATTTTGTTGAATTATAAACTAAACATAGATTACAATATTCAATAATAGGAAATATATGTTTGTTAAGCTTTTTAAAAAAAATCTTACCATCAGCTCTTTTGCATATATTTTTTTAAATTGCAACTTTTTAAATACATTTATTATATTAATATAAATAGTTTACGTGTAAATTATGATTAAAGCTTTTATTATACAAATACCCACATTTTTGTGATTTTGAATTATTTAATTTTTATACCATTGATATTATAATTTTATAACTTAATAGATTTAGTGGAAATAAGAAAATAAATGTAATAATAATAGATAATTATAATAAATAATATTATGAGCTATAAAACTTTTATTAATTTATATGTATTTACAACAATACTGTATAATTATTATTTATATAGTTAATAACATTTATTAAATAATAAAACAAAAATAATTTTTTAATTCTTAAATTATTTAAATCATTACCTGAAATTAAGAAAAAATTAAAATATTTTTTTAATTAAAATTTCATAATTTAAATAACTGTATTTATAATTAAATTTTAAACAATAAATTTAAGATTTTATGACATGATTTCACTTTTGTTATAAAATTCTATTGAAAATCAATTCTTATGATTATATTTTGTTTATTCATTTTTAGGATATTTATTTCGTATAATAAAATTATATTCAATAAAAAATATATCATTTATTATTGTTATTATTTCTTTATTTAAATTCATTTATTCAGATAAGAATTTAATGTTTGTATATTAAATATTTATAATAATTTTTAAAAACATTTAATGTTATCAAAATGTGTAATATTTAACAAAATAATAATATTTAATAAAATAATAATAATTATAGTATAATTATTTTAATGTTTTTAATTTGCAATTAGATAAAATTTTAAATTGCTTATAAAGTTATATTTCATAATTTTTGCTTTCTTTCAATATTTATATTTATAAAGTTTACAAATAAAAATTATAAAAATAATTTACAATTTTTATGTAATTTTATGTTATTTACTGTTCCTTCAAAATATAACATTATTCATAATAATATATTTTTACTTCAAGACATGTTTTAAATATAAAAAGAATAAAATAATTATATTTTAATAATAAAGGACTTCAGAGTATTTGGGAAAAATTGAAAAAATTAGCTCAAATTTTGGTCAAAATAGCATTTTATTTTAAGCACAATTAAAGGTTTATATTGATGTAAATTTTTTTTAAATGTGTAATAGGAAGTGATACAATTACTTAAAATGTAAATATATTTCATATTGCTGTAATTTGAAATATGTGATATTAAAAAATTGTTTTTACATTCATATACATAATTCAAATGTGCTTAAAGTTATATACGTCAATTAAATTGATTATGAAATTATTGTCAATTAAAAAATTCATAAAATATATTAAAATCTCTATTTTCAATCTATTGCCATTTAGTATACAAAAATATTATTTAATACTAAGAATAATAAAAACAGATGTATATAAATTAATTATTAAAAAAATTTAAACTTAATTGCAATACATTGAAAATTGACGTTGAAATACCAAAATTTAATATTGCATATAATAATTCATAGTAGTCATAGTCAAAGTAATAATAGTCATATTTATGCTTAATACTAATACTACAAACTCCTATTTTCATATAAAATATACATTCAAATAATCAGAATAAGTATAAATTAATGTAGTAATAGTAACGAATTTTAATAATAATAATGTTTTTTGATAATTATAATATAAAATAATTTTACTAACAAAAACATTTAAATAGAAACCCACTTTTACAACTGAAACCGTTACGAAAACCAAACCGTTTTTAAATCGGAACCGAAATCATTTAGATTCCGATCTCTACTATGTATCAAATGCTCAAAACTATCTAATACTTTGGGTTCATTTTTTAATAACTTAATTGTAAAAAAAACATTTTAAAATCTTCTCACAAAAACTATTGAAAATCTTATCTTTTATTTTTTTAGTAATTTATGCTTTATATCAATATAGTCTAAATACTCTGTTTTATATAACTTTAGCATTTTATTTGTTTGATATTTTAAATAATGTTTCATAAATTATAATATTGAGAATTATTTATTAATTATAAAATTAATATTAAATATTAAAAATAAATTTAGAAACTATTATTAAAATCAAATTATACATATCATGAAAAATAATGCTGTAAATAATCTCAATAAACAATTAATTAAAAAAAACTAATTATTGAAAACTAATAATTACATGATTTTAGTGGAATTTTAAAGTAGAACAATATTAATATTGTATATATTGTATTTATAATACAAAATTATTGCATATATTTTATATTTAAAATTTCTATTTTAATATTTCATTAATTAGCTCATAATTTTATTATTTTTAAAAAATGCTCATAAAATTTAAATATAAATTTTATTAAAATAATATTTAATGTTAAGAATATTTAGTAGTTATCAGTAAATATATAGAAAATGTTAATAAAATGAGTGAATTCAAGTTGAAAAATTATGCACCCAATTCAAAATTGTAAATTACTCTTATTTTATTTTTTTATTTATATTTATATAATATATATTATATTATATTATTTAGTGAACTGCTTAAAGCTATTTGGTTTACAAGTGAGTGCTAACTATAAATCCAAGTCTTTAATGTAGTTTAAACCACATGTCATTAGAAGATTGAATAAAAATTTGCATAAATTTAGTCTCAAGACTCATGACTTCGGCGGTAAAGAGCGAAGTCTGTAAAGATTGGCTCAAATTTTTAAAATTTAATAGAAAATAGTATTTTTTTAATATAAAATACATAACAAAATACATAACAACTTTTCTGAAAGAAGTTGAAAAATAAAATTTACTTTTAAATTATATTTCTGTTTTATACTTATTATCAATATATTTCTGAATAGTTTATTTTTATGATATACTGTATACAAAACTAAGTACACATTTCATAATTTAGTGGATATTTACGTCTAAAATTTATATATATTTTCTTATTTTAAAAATATAGCATATTTTATAAACACACAAAAATAAATTGATATTTATCTAAACTGCTTTTGTTTTTATTTGAAAGGCTAGTCAGAAATGTCGTAAATTCATTAGTGATTAACATTTATGTCTATAAACTATATGATCTCATATATCCTCTATTTCATGATTCATTGAAATCCTTTTTAATATAAAAATATCATTAAAAACAAAGTTTTAGTAAACGACTCGTATTTTGCTGTGAAAAGATTTTATAATCAATTATAATTTTTTAAACTTTTATTGCTTAATTACATTTATTTTTGTTTTTAAGGTAATTTTTAATATTACAGTTTTTCATACTTTACATAATTACATTTAATATAATAGATAATTTTAATATCATATATGAAAGATTGATATACAGTATAAATAAAAATAAATTTAAATTTTATATAAGTTAAAATTTATAATATTGAAATAGTAATGTAAATTTACAAGTTAGTTATTATATGAAACTTTAAATTTTAGAGATAACTTTATCTTTATTATTGTAGAAATTATTATTCAAGTGTATTAACCGACTAAAAACAGTAATAATATGGTACAACTAATTTTTATATAGCATTAAATTATTTAATATTGTAAAACACATTAAGATATGAATCTCATAATGCATTAAATAAATTGTTTTGGCTATTGTTTCACTACTAAACCATAATCTGTATCTAATGTGGATTTATTTGTCAAACATAGTTATCATTTAATTTGTTGACTAACTTTAACATTATTTGGTTTTTATTTTTGGAGCATTATTTTAATAAACTGTTAGACAGACAGACAGATAAATGAATTACATCAATGAATCCTCAAAATAAAGACAAACTTAAACATTACATTTGATAATCAATTGTTGTATTTTATATTATATTATACTACAGCTATTGTACAGTTATTTCGCTTAATGTAAACTGTAATGCAATGACAAACAAACTAATGGATCAATAATTGTGTGAATTTTATTCGCATTTGTAGTGAATCTCTATATCAATACTTGTGTTATCTCTCAATGTTAGGTAATTTGGGTCGAGTCGACCGCATCAGTCACTTGACATATGACCTCTTTGTCAGGCCTGACATCGCTGACCCCAGACATCGACTTTGGTTCAACTTTACCATTGATAATGCTATCAACAATCAGGTCTCACATTCATACTATTAATTATTCTATATTTATATTATATAAAATTATACATATTGTATGATATATAGTGTAGTGTAGTGTAGTGTAAATTTATTATTATTTCATTATTATTTAGTTATACAATATATTACAATATAAATAAACTAAAGTATCTTTAGTACTCATTTCTAAACATTATTATTTTATTACAAATTCTTTTTGCATTTTATCTAAAAAAACTGTCAATTATTGTCAATTACTAAAATTGTAATTTAATATTATTTAAATTTTATACTTTTATTCAAATAAAATCTTTAAAAATGAAAACCACAACAAAATTAAAATAACAAAATAATTAGTTTACTAACATTTTTAACATTATTTACAAATTTTACACAAATATAATCAGTAAAAGTTGGACCCAAACAGTTGATGTAAGATAGAGTTGGGTAATGTTTCAATCAGACAATTGGTGTAAACAAAATTGTTAGTTTTGTTAGTATCATCAGTCAACTAAATTAGTAATATTTAATTATGTTGTCAAATAACTTTACATAATTTCACATTTAGAGAAAACTATAACTAACATAACAATGCAAACATAAACATAAATTAACATAATATTTTATAAGATTAAATATAACTGATTGATAAATATATACAGTATATATTGAAATTGTAATTACAGTTTAACAAGATGTGTAAACTCTAGTTTTCTTTAAAATTGAAATTATTTTTAGTTAAAATTATTAAGTTTATAACATAGTTAATGATAATAATTTTAAATAAATTAAGTTTAAAACATAAATATTTAAATTTTAAAATAGTCTAAAGATTTTTATTAAAAATAAAAATGATAATTACATAATTTTAAGCTTACATAATCAAAGATGCATTTTAAAAACTTATTATATTGATTCAAAATTTATTGCAAATAATTTGGGGTTTTATTTATTTTATTAATTTTATTTTTAATAAATTATAATTCATTTGCAATAATACTTATTTAAAATTTATTTTGAATATTTATTGAATAAAATATTTAAATTTTAATTACTTTGTTTTACTTTTATAAAATGATAATTATTGAATATTAAAATTAGAATTATTAAAATTTATTAAAACTTGCAAATGTAAAAAATAATTAGAAATACTGTACACACTGTACTGTATTGTTAGAGTTAAGGACAAAAATGCTCAATATATAAATTGGATATAATCTATACAGTTATTGATAACATATTAATATACATATATAGTGTTATTAATACAAACGGTTAACTCTGATAACATTTGTTGCACTTTAATATAGCTGTTTAACAATTACTAATTTTGTCGATCGACTCTATAAGTCTAATATAATATATTGTATTTGTTATGTTATGATCAATAGATGTATGAAATAGCAGTCTTCATCTCCTTTAATAAGTGTCACGTATTTGTTTGATTTGAGACCAACTTATGGGAACAACACATTAAATGAAGACAAAGACACTGATGAGTGTCAGGTCTCAGTGTTACTGACCAGTCGTCTCAAAACATTTGTATTATTGATAGTTAAAGCCATCCGTATTGTTGACTGACATTAACAACATTGACAACAGCCGTGAATTTGACTCAACATTTTTCTATCAATTTTTTGTAATAATATAACTGATGACCAACTAGTTTAATGTCACAAAACTATAAGACCCATAATACATCTCAAATTCAAATTATTGTTACATCAATTACATACAAACTAACTTATATTCAATCCTTTATCTATAGTATATTTAAAACAAGACTATAATAAAAGTAATATTTGATGCAATTTTACGATTCATTCGTTGATATATTTGTTATATCTTTATCAATGGTGACAAATAAATAATTTTATGAATCCATGGCTTTACTTATACATTAAAACTGTTTATTCGTTGGCCACAGTCGTCCAACTATACTATCATATAACAGAATTAGGGCTCAAAACTTAGTTTATGGCCATATCTGGGGATATAAGTTGACTAACTATTGGCCCACTTGTCCCCATCAAACCATACCAAACCCTTATTGGAAAAGCAAATTTAGGTTTACTATAATCCGCTATGGGTTTAGCACTGCCAATGATAGATAGCTGACATCCAAGCCGTAGGGGTTTATCAGTGATGGCTCCTATCATACCAGTGCTTACTATTACATTAAAAATCGTTGAACACAATATTCATTAAACAAAAATGTTATATTAAATATATTTTGTATTCACTCTTATTCTATATTAACTATAATACTGGTTTTCTATATATATAAAAAAAAATATTGATATTTGTTAATTGAATTTGATATTTTGCTTACTATTTTTATAAAATAAAAAATCAACAATCATTCATAATTAAATTACGTATAGTTAACAATAAACAATATAATAGATTATGTTAACTAAAAAACAGATACCATTTTTATCTTAAATATTCTAATGTATAAAATGTACATTTATTGCATATAAAAACTATAAATTTATTATACTATATTGTAATCTAAAATTATTTTTAAGTTTATAACTTAAATTTATAAATTATAATAACACAAAAATCCGAGTATATAAAGATAACATAATGCAAATTTCATTGTTATAATTAAACAAAAATATGATATTTTTCAAATACACTATTTTTCAATTGGTCACAATTTATAATACAATTTGAATGCATTGTTTTGAATTTCAATTTATCAAAAAAATGTTTGCGCGAAGAATTGTCATACAGTCATATCAATAAAACAATTTGTATGGCATAGCAAACAAAATGTCATATCTTATAAAATCAAGACATATTAAGGCTTCACTTTTCCCTCTAACCTCTTTATACTGGCACTGGTAGTCAAGTAAACATAAAAATGTGATGGTTTAGTACACAACGCATAAAGTATAAACCATAAGTAGTTTTTCTAATATATGCCAAATACTGTATGTAGTGATATGTTGTGACACAAAACAGCTTTTCCTCAAAACCTTTTTTTATCAAAAGCCAAACATTAAAAGCTATTAAACCAACGAATCGGACGTAATTAAGGCATTTAAAGTAAAATATCGCTCAAATAAATAGCTTTTGAGATATTTTACAGAAATATATATGAAATATATCTAAAATTGTTATAAACTTAATACTGTAGTAAATATGTTACTAAATTGAAAAACTCGAGAAGGAAAGAAAAAATCATTTTAGATATTGAATAAAATCAAAATAAATGGATTGAACTCTGGATTAATATTTTTAGTATCAAAATAAGTAATCTTTAAAAAGTAAATCTATTTTTAAAAGTTTATCTATTTTATTTTAAATAAAATATTAAAATATAAAATACTTAATACTTGAAGCTTATATTGTATTAATCAATAATTATAATATTGTTTTTTCAGATTCAAGTTATAAGTTTTGAAAGATAATTATGGGATATAATTCATATAAAATAATAAAAATATTACTAATTATGAATAATTATGAGTATTTCTTTCATTTACTGTCAATGAATTTTAAAAAGTTATTTACCAATTAAATAAAAATTAATTAATTAATTTTTTTAGTTTATAATAGAGTGTCATTACGTGATGTTTATGTAAATAGAAAATTATATTATAATATAAATAGGCAGTCAATTAATCTTGCGTCGCGTAAAACTTGAATAACTTTTGAACGGTTAGAGATAATTTAATTCTGTAAATTACATTTAAGAATATCATATCGACCACACTTAATATACACGCAATCACAAAACTAGGATGACCAGATATACAAAATATCAGGACCAACGCAGGACACTATGCTACAGGCAAAATTACAACTGATAAATTTATTTTGACAATGAAATTTTGTAGTCAAGAAATGATGGTTTAATATAAAAAAAAGAATCATCAAAATCGAATTGGTAGTTTTACTTTTATGGTTTATTAAGTTTGTCATAAATCATATTATATAAAATAGTCTAATATAAAAATGACGTTATTTATGATCTGTATATGATTATTAGATAAACATTTCAGTTATATTACTAATTCTAAAAACAATTTTAATATGTCGATTAGTTTACGAAATATTTGAATTTCAATAAAAATTTTAATATCAAATTACAATAGTGTGATTTATATTGTAATTCGATTATTTCAAAAACTAATCGACATATTGAAATTTTGTTTTTAGAATTAGTAATATAATTAAAAAATTCATCTAATAAATATATACAAGTAATAAATTGCGTCATATTTATTTTAGATTATTTTATATAATATGATTTATGACAAACTTAACAAACTATAAAAATAAAACTACCAATCCGATTTTAATGAATCTTTTTTTATATTAAACTATTATTTCTTGACTACAAAATTTCATTGTCAAAATAAATTTGTCAGTTGTAGTTTTGCCTGTAGCATAGTGTCCTGCGTTGGTCCTGATATTTTGTATATCTGGTCATCCTAGTTTTGTGATTGCGTGTATATTAAGTGTGGTCGATATGATATTCTTAAATGTATTTTACAGAATTAAATTATCTTATACCGTTTAAAAGTTATTCAAGTTTTACGCGAAGCAAGATTAATTGACTGACTCCTTATATATAGAATATATATACAAAAATTTTAATTATTTATTTATTATTTCACTCACTTTAGTAAACATTTTTTTTAATGCACTAATATCTCGACAAATTTTAATGATTTTATTTTTAAATATTCTAATATTTGATCACAATTTAAAATACAGGTAATTATATTTATATAATTTATAATATCATAAATAAGTTTAGTTATTTTTTTTCTACAGATTATTTCAAATATATTGATAATTTTTTTTAGTACATTATACATTATTTATATTTTTGCATATTTCATATAATTTGTTTAACTTGTTATAATTATTAATTTATATTTATTATATATTTTATATTAAATTTTTACTCAATTTTAGAAAATCAAACACAATTTCATGAATTTTTAAACTATGTTTTTGGAAAAATAAATTTATAGTAAAGTTATACACTATTCA